CATCTTTTCACTACCCTCCCATCTACCTGCCAAGTATTTTCTGTCTGAGAACCTTTAATATGTGTAGTCATATTTTGAGGCATGTGGTGTCTTCTCCTAATCTGCCATTTTTCCAGCCCACCAGTGAGTGTTGCTTCCTGCTTAATGAAATTTCTCTCTCTCTCTCCCTCCCTCAATCTCTCTCTCTCTCTCTCTCTCTCTCTCTCTCTCTGTGTGTGTGTGTGTGTGTGTGTGTGTGTGTCCCCAACAATATTTCTGTAACTCTTTTGTCCTTACATCTAGGGATGGGATTTTTTTTTTCTTGGACCCCAGATTCCATAGTCCATTCTGGGAGTTCTCTCTGATGGGCAGGCACCTACGTGTGGCTCACTTGGAAGAAAGGCCTTAACTGGAACATTTTGAGACTTAGCTGGGCTTACACGCTCCCAAGTTAACTGTTCCTACCCCAGTGGTCGCTGGGAGCTTTCTTTATGAACAAGAAGCTTAGGTGGTGCTGGGCCTAGCTAAGCCTCAAAGGCCTTTCTCCCAAGTGAGCCACATTTAGGTATCTGTAAGGCATTTGTCTTGTCGGTAGAACTTCCAGAATGGAGAATCATGAGATTTTTAGTTCTATCAAAAAATCCCATCCCTACTTAAAACCTATTGTAAATGATAAATAAACAATGGCAAAAAAGAGCTATAGAGATGTACATGCCATTCCTGGAAAAAGGGAACTCTTTGATTCCATTAGGTTGCAGTGTGACTAGTTTCTTTGACAGAGTGACTGATGAGGTGAAAGACACAAAACAATGAGAACCAATGGATTAGGCTAGCTTAAAATTTTAGTGTAAAGAGAATGAAAAGTCAATCTTAAGTGCAGTTATTTAGAATGTAATTAAAATGAACCAAGAGACCACTGAGGGCTGAAACAGAAGTGATGGTGGCCATGAAAAAAAAATGCAGATCACTGGGGTGTAAATTTTATATGCAAATAAGGCAATAGACATTCTAAGTGCACTTCTGTGTGATGTTTAAGAAGTGCTTTTGCCTCTAACCCACATCCTGTCTATTCCAGCCCAAACAAAAAACGATTTGCGTGCCTTTATGGACCAAGCCATACACTCAAGAGTACATCTAAAATTTTTACATGTATTACTGAAAATGTAGTGGGGTGAAAAATAAAAAGGGACAAGCGTGTATTTGCAACACCTCCTGTCAGGCACACTCATTAAGAAGCCAGGAATAGCTATGACTCTCTGTCAAGTACCGTTTCAGCTACAAACCAGACTTTCCTGCAGAAAACGGTGTGCAAAGGCTCTATGTCTCTAGAACTGATATCACAGGCTTAAGTGGCTTGAGTAGCAAGGGAAGAAAGGGGGAACGGCGCGCTGAGGAGATCTTGGTTTTCTGCCCAGTGAAAAGTCAAAATTCGGCAACCTTAAAGGCCAAATCCTGATTTTCCACAATGAACAGAATAAATTGCACAACATCCATTCAACCTACTTCAATTTATTTATTTATTTATTTTATTTTATTTTATTTATATGCCGCCCACACTACCCAAAGGTCTCTGGGAGGCTTACAACATAAGCTTAACTATAAATTCTACCCCGCATAAACATTAATAGTAAGAACTTTTTGGGAGAGAGGAACCCTCTTCAGGTATTCATCTTGGTACAAATACAGTGGTGCCTCGCTAGACAATTGCATTGTGGGACGAAAAATCCGCAAAGACACTTGGTTTTTGCGATCACTATGGTGCCTCGCTGGGAGGAAAAATCCGCAAAGACAATTGGTTTTTGCGATTACTATGGTGCCTCGCAATTTTTTTTTTTCTATGACCGTGCTTCGCAAGACTTTTTTTTGAGACCGATGCTTTGCAAGATGTTTTTATTATGAGACCAATCTTCGCAAGACTTTTTTTTTTGAGACTGATGCATAGGGGACCTCACAAGACGATTTTTGTCATAAGACGACGATTTTCACGGAACAAATTAAAATCGTCTTGTGAGGCACCACTGTAAACATGTGGAGAAAGACACTTGCATGACACACTGGCAGGGCCTGCCCTACTATAAGGCAAAGTGCTGGGAGGGAACCTAGAATGGTTGTAGGATTGTAGGAGAAGACCTATAAGCATCAAACTGTCTTCCCTGCGCCCCCCAGCTAGCCTGCTGGGTCTCAAATGTTCTTTGAGAATAAGAGCCAGCCGAAGCTCTAGTGTGGGTGGGTAGTAGCAAAATTTGCCAGGCCCCTCAGCTTTGCTCTGTCTCAGCTGGGTGGAGATGGATTCTCATGTGTGCCATAGAGCCTGGCGATTTAATCCCTTCTGTTTTCAATATTTTTAGTACTGGGCAACGGAACTCTCTTCCATCAAAGAGCTTGTGTCCATCCACCTTTTGTCTTTCAGGAACTGGTTTAAAACAATATCTATAGGTAGCTTCAGGAGAATAAGCAAGCGCTCAACTTTTCCCTAACGATTGCTTGTTTACATTTGCTTTCATTCTGTTATTAACAAGCACTTGTAGTCTGTGTCTTTAGATGCCTGTAAGTCTAGATTTTATATGTTTGCAATTTGTGGCTGTGGAGTTGTGGCTTCAAATATTTCCATTTTTTTTAAATTGTGTTTCTAATAACTCCTCTGGGCTCTCCCAAGGTAAGGCGGGGGTATAAGTCAAATGAACAATGGCAGAAAGTGCTCCCCCCAAAAATGACAGCATGAGGCACAAACAAGATGTGGAGAGGATGAAGGAAGGATGTTTGCTGATGCATACCTTGAAGCGGAAATATCATGTGCTCCCAGGCAGCAGCTACTGTGTTCTGCCTTTCCTAACTCCTTGCCCTATTGATAATGCTCCCATGCAAACCTACACCCTGAAGTACACTACCACTGCCTTTTTCTGTGTCTCCCCACCAGCCTTTTATCTTATTTTGTCTTAACCCTCATCTTCTTACTTATCTGACTGGAAACAGAAGGCTGGATTTCCATAATTCCACAGAGGCCAAGATAGCAACGAAAGGGATATAATTTAATTATTCAAAGCCGCTTTTCTTCTGAATAGTTTTGTACTACCCAAAAGGGATGACGTTTTCCCTTCAAACCTTTAAGATGTTCTGCCTTGAGTTCTTCTCCTCGAGCTGTTTCATTTCTGTTATCTATGGTTATTATGTTAAATAATGAAAAATATCAATAAGCAATATATGAAGTAGGGAGAGTAACACGTACATATGTGTGTGTGTGTGTGTGTGTGTGTGTGTGTGTGTGTGTGAAACCTAACTGTAGCAGAGACTGCAGTAAAGTTTACAGCTGAACAAACAGGTCAACCTGCACCTTGTGTATCCCAAGCCAGCCCTCTGTACAGTCGCCAAGGTACTTTGTTGCCTAGCGTAGCAAGTCACACCCAGAGTAGGCCCATTGAATCAGTGGGGATTAGGTGAGTCAACTCCTCTGTAAGTTCTGTGATTCAGTGGGTTCTGTAGTTATGACTTGCTATGCAAAGCCACAGGATTTCAACCACTATGTTAAGTAAAGGTGTGTTGATTATTTTAAATAGGCTTAAAGTGGCTAATTTTATGATAATAGAAAAGAGCAGTATTGTCCTTTGATCTAAATTTGGGGCTTCCATTGGCTTCCAGCTGTTATGCTCTTGAGAGCCAGTGGTGCCTTTGTTCTAGAAGAGCTCAGTATCTAATCAATTTCAAAATTGCAGCAGTGGATCATTTTTTTTAAATTTGAAAACCAGTTTAGAAGCACAGCTGAGGAGTGGAGCTCTGCAGCTTCTCCTTCAGAGTAAAACTGGCCAGCTTTGTGTGGTTTTAAAAAAAGTGTTAGTCTGAATTTGCTCCACAAAGGAACTAATCTAATTTATAACTACAGATTGCTCTACACTCCTCCTGTCTTCCCATGTTGGTGCAGTCTAAGCAATGGGCTCATGAAGGCAGTGTGGTCATTTTTCGAATGTGATAAGAGACCTCCCTTAGTGACCCCTTTGCTCCTGGTTCTCCATCTGACTGTAATTCACAGCAATTTCTTTGTTCAGAGCCTATATCCATAACACACCGTTAATACTTCCTGCAAGTGGTCTGAAATATTGATGCTAATGGCTCCGCTTGCTCTCCTGGCAGCACATTAAGCAGGTAGAACTACCACGCCACGTTTCCTTGTGTGTGTTTTTTTTTGGGGGGGGGCAGGGGTTATAAAGAGGGCCTAATGGACTACAGACCTAAAGATGCGCACTTATCCAGAAGTCTGCTCCAGGTGGGTTTTGGGGAGGAAGGCCTTGTCTTGTTTGATCTTGGATAGTGGTTTCTCGGGGGGGGGGGGGGATGGGAGGAGTAGAACAAAGGGGGACCCATTTTAGGGTTCACAGGATTGACTTTATTTTTAAGAGGAAACCCAAAGCCCATGAACGGGAGTCAGGTGTACCACAGTGGCTCAGGAAGGAGGAGCGAGAACTACAGAAAAAGCGTGGTGCCTCTGAGCATATGCTAAATCCAGGAGCACTCACAAACAAATCTACTAATGGTCCTCCACCGCCACCAGCCACAAACAAGCATTCTTAGTTTTAGCAGATTTAAATCTGCCATGATTTAGGTAGTGCTCGGGGAAATTTCTTGTTCTTTTTATGGACTACAGCTCCCTGAATCTTTTACAGCAAGTGGTTCCCAAACTTGGGCCCCAGATGTTCTTGGACTACAACTCCCAGAAGTTAGCACAGTTCGTGCAAGAATGTTTGGGGGCCCAAGGTTGTGAACCATTGGCTTAGGAGATTCCTGGAGGTGAAGTATAAAAAAAGCCGTTCTTTTTGAAGTTCTGGATTTAGGAGAGGAGAAAGGAATTTTTAATGTTGTTAAACACTTGGAGGCAAGAAAGCATCGCTGATGTACTTCAAAATGAACTGAAAAGATGGCATTATGTCCCAACCTACCTTCTGCCTATACCTCTAGCTTAGCATATATCAGCCACCAGTGAGTACCTTTTGCAATGAAACTCATGACTCTCCAATTACCGTTCCTTGCAGGGGGAGCTGCTAAGCCCGTGTCGCTGTGATGGATCTGTCCGCTGCACCCACCAGCCCTGCCTGATTCGCTGGATCAGTGAGAGGGGCTCCTGGAGCTGTGAGCTGTGCTATTTCAAATACCAGGTCTTAGCCATTAGCACAAAGAACCCCTTGCAGGTAAGCTCTACCAGCCAAACACCTTTGGGTGGGGGAATGGGGGTGGGGAAGAGTCAGTGGCGGAGGATGGGAGGCAAAGTATGCATCTGTTGCAGGCGTGCGTGCACGTGACTGCAAGCTTAAATAACCTACTCTGCCCATATTCTCCCTCCACTTCTGATGGGCAATGGGCAGAGCTGGCCCTCCTGTTAGGCAAAGTGTGGCAGTCATCTCAGGTAGCAGATTAGAGAAGGCAGAATCCAGTTGTTGGAGGAGAAAAATACATGCCACCCAACCTTCCATAATCAGAGGCAATCTGCCTCTTTCAGGGTGGAAAGGGAGATGCTGTCCCACTTCCATTGCTGAAGGAGGAATTGACTTCCAGTCCAATTGGCCTCTGCATATAATAATAGAGAGGGCATCCTGTCCTTTGCTTCAAAGACCTATGGCCAGAGATGGGGCATTTATTAATTATTGAACTACAACTCTTAATGTCACCATGCCAACTTCAAGATTTTGGGAGTTGTAGTAAAAAATAAGTGTTTCTATTTACGGGAGAGGCAAGTGCAAATTGTGAATGTGTGCCACAAGTGCCTGTGCAGAGGACTCTGGGGCACCCATCCATGCCACTCAAATGTGCACATCATGCTGTACCCACCCCTTACCCACACTGCAAGGATTGCAAGGGGATGATAGGAAGTCCAGGCATTCACCCTGGGCACAATCCAGGGAAGGCTGGTGCTTTTCCTAGCAACTGCATGCATGGGTGTGCACATATACTTTCTCAGGAGGTACCGCCGTGAACTTAAAAATTGGTATTCTGTCCCAGACTTTCTTTTTATAGGGCAGGAATGGGAAACATTAAGCTTTCTCAGTAGTTAAGAGTGTAACTCCCATTATCATCCAACTATTGGCTGTGCTATTTGGGGCTGATGGGCACTGCAGTGGAAAAAAATCTGGAGGGTGTTACATTCTCCAGCTGATCCATAGGGAATAATTCCTGCATGGCCTTGCTAGTCATAGCACATCGCAGTTACTTTTACAACTTGTTCAGTGACAGCTTTCCCTCATCTTTGCACTCTCCGGCTGTTTGGGGCTACAGCCCACAATATTCCCAGCTGGCACAGTCAGCAAAGGGAACTGTAATCCAATATGCCCAGAGGACCCCAACTGGGAGAAGTATAAAACATATGGAGGGCCAAAGTTTGTGCACCACTGAACTAGAACACATCCCAGGTGACTGCCAGTTGTGAGGTGCAAGGGGGAAAATTGTATTCGCGAAGGCTTTCACAGCCGGGATCTAATGGTTGTTGTGGGTTTTTCGGGCTCTTTGGCTGTGTTCTGAAGATTGTTCTTCCTAATGTTTCACCCGTCTCTGTGGCTGGCATCTTCAGAGGGCAGCACTCTGTGCTCTGGTGTAGTTGGCTTGGGAGTGGAGTATTTATGGCTTTTGTCTTTTTCTGTAGATGGGTGATTAGTGTGTCTTGTTGTGGGTGTATTGTTGTGATAAAGAGAGATTATCTGTCACTGTGGTTGATGGGTGTCATTAGCTGGTCTTTTGTGTATAGTGATCCCCGGTCCTTGTGGCTGAGTAGAGTTCATTGACCTTTTGCACGCTGTATTTTTGAGGGCTGGGAGCCAAGTTTTGTTGAGTTTCAAACTTCCCTCTTTTTTGTTGAAGTTCTGCTGGTGCCTGTGGATTTCAATGGCTTCCCTGTGCAGTCTGACGTAATGATTGCTGGTGTTGTCCAGTATTTCAGTATTTTGAAATACTGAAAAAGTATTTGCAGAAAAAGACCAAAAAAAGTATCTACAGAAAAAGACAAAAGCCCATCTCACAGCCATAAATACTCCACTCCCAGGCCAACTACACCAGAGCACAGAGTGCTGTCCTCTGAAGATGCCAGCCACAGAGACTGGCGAAATGTTAGGAAGAACAACCTTCAGAACACGGCCAAAGTGCCCGAAAAACCCACAACAACGGGGAAATTTGTCTTTGGGGAAGGCTTGGCTACCGCTCTCTTTATTGAGGAGCCCTTGCTAGATCTCCAAGGAACCTGTGACTATTATAAACATAGGTTGAGTACATTTGGTTTATATTATCTTCACTGTTCTGATCCAGTGCTCTCACTTGGTTTCAGGGTGTGGAAAGGGCACCATGCCTGTAAAAAATGTGAACAGAATGGACAATGTATTGGAAGTAGAATTGTGCTGCTAATGCCAAAGCTGTCTGAATTGTGTATCTTAGCATTTGTATCCTAAGATTTTGCACCCCTTGGCCCCATGAGGTAACCTCACTTCATTGTCCCACCATCAATGGATAGCTGAGTAGTTTGGGTTTCTTGCTGTGGAGTCAGAGGTTGGGAGTTTGATTCCCCACTTGTGCCTCCTTGACAGGAGCTGGTCTTGGTGATCCATAGGGCCCCTTCCAGTTCTTTCGTTCTGAGATTAAGATTAAGATTTCAATGAAAGTTTCCAACCAGTACTAACCTCTACATACCATTTCCCCCCTCTCTAGTGGCAGGCAATTTCCCTGACGGTGATTGAAAAGGTGCAGATTGCAGCCATCATCCTGGGTTCTCTCTTCCTCATCGCCAGCATCTCGTGGCTTATCTGGTCATCGCTCAGCCCCTCGGCCAAGTGGCAGCGGCAGGACCTGCTCTTCCAGATCTGCTATGGGATGTATGGCTTTATGGACATTGTGTGCATAGGTGAGAGCTTCCTCCCACCCAAGCCCGCTTTCTTGGAAAATGGAAAAGGAAACTATTAATCCTTGCAGTTAGCTTTGAACCTACAGAATACCAGAGGTGGAGGGAATGCAAACAAGTTTTTACTTGCATTGTGATTCCCTGTGGAATTCATTGTAAAGGAAGTGGTAGGGTGGAGTCCAGCAAATTTCTGTGCATTAGAGGAGTGCTAATTCTCAAATAGTACGTCCAGGGAATAGCTCTGGAAGCACATTAACAGACTACATGAAATTAGGATTAGGATTGTATGCCTCCCGTGAGGTCAGAGGACTTCTCCGTAGACATGTTTTATTGCGTCCTGTTTTTGCTTGAGGCTGTAACAATTTACTGCACTGTGTTATGCACTCCACTTCACTCTCCCTCTCTCTCTCTCCCCACCCCCTCTTCTGTGGCATTTTTAAAATAGCTCCTTAGATAGGGTTTATTCAACCAAAGTATTTGTCTCTTTGAACTTTGTACAAACTTTGGCATTCGAAAACTTAGTCTTCCAAGAGTCAGGGACTTTTTTTAGACATACAAACTCAACAGTATCTGGTAAAATTCTAAAAGGTCAGTGAGGAGAAGGTGAAAAAGATTCCCACTGAGTAGGTGTTGAGGTCCAGTTCCTTATGTGATTTGTTTCACATTTCTGGAAAGGAGAGTATGTCAAATACACAAATGAATACAAATGTACTTAATTTGGACAATTATTAGGGGTGTGCATTCAGATGTGGAAATATTTGGAATGCACAAAATAATGCCATATTCAGATAATCCCAAATACAGTATTTGTAATAATAATTCCTGAAAATTTCCATTTCCTCCTATACATTAGAAAGCAAAAGGGTAAATTTCTGCTTGCTGGAAGAAGAAGTGAAAGTGAAATGTATTTCTCAGGCATCCTGGAGTGATTTCTTAAGATATGTAACTTTTAACACACTCTGGCACCAAGGGTAGTTAGGGGCAGAGAAATCTGTCTCCTGATTGGTACTGCCTTGGGTTTCCCAAAGGAGAGGGTTAGGATGAGGCCAAAACCTGTAAATGATGTCTGTTTGTGCCAATGAAATCTAGAAGTACAATATTTTTTCACATTGGTTCTTTCTTATTGAAAGGTGGCCATAGCTGCTTATAAATCCCCTGAGCATTTGCTATTAGGATATGCCCTGGTGCAAGCTTGCACTAAACCAGTTTTCTCTATGTCCGTTTCTGTATCCTCAACTTACACTTACATTCTCTACCTCTCATTGTATATTACTTACTTAATATAGTTAGGAATAAAATTTAGAGTTAGTAAACTCATAGATTAATATCTTATAAATCAACTGAGATATGCCAGCCCCTCTGGGATATATCAGACAGATATATTATTTTAATAGGTTTTGTCTCTGTGAAATTTTCATTGGAAGGGGCTGTATTCTGCGCTGGCAGATTCAGATATGGTCCTTTTTTGGGTAGAGTCTGCAGGCAGTATGAAACATGATTGTGGCAGAAGAAGTAGGCACTTGGAGAAGACTGCAGGAATGCTGGCTGCAAATGCTGTAGCACTTTTTATTGAGAGGAGAAGGAGAAGGAAAAGACAGTCTACACTCCCAAAGCTTCAGAGGACACAAATCCTTTGGCCCATAATGTTCCACTCTTCTCAGCCCAGAGGAGCAGCCACACCAGTGGAAGTCTCCAGTGTCAAATCACAGACCCACCAGCGGTTGTATTATAGAGTCGCTCATCCCTGCAACAACAGGGCAAGCTTTCTGGGACACTGTCCTGACAAGCATGGCAAGACCTGTCCTCTAGACATACCACCTTAGAGGAAAGACACGACAGAGGCAGAGGTGAAGGCATACAAGCAGGAGCCCTGAAAGCCAAAAGAGAGCAATCCTTATCTTACTGGGTTGAGAAGGAGTCTGTTCAGGGAGGTCTGACCAAGGTGGCACTGGAGTGCTGCCTTGCCCACCAACTAGTATGCCCAGTGAGAGTGTGTTTTGTTCAGGCAGGAGACACTGTCAGTCCACACTACTCACACCTGGGTCAAGTTACTATTGCTAGCTTCCCTGAAGTCCTCTTTAAGTAAGAGAAAAGAACACTCGTTGCTCAGAGTACTAGGTATGCCATGCTTTAGTCTGCTGTCCCCTCCTTCTGCCTCTTTAATTCTTTCAACTGGTGCTCCATGATGGTACTTATTCACTCAGCTGTGCTGTGCCCCATGCTGTTGGCACAGTTTCCACCCACCACAGGTTGCTCCAGGCTGCCTGCCAAGGCTGCCCGGGGTGTTTGCCCACTCTCCTCTCTGCTTCGCCCAATGGTGCTGGCATTTCCTGCTGGCATTCCTACAGTTCAGGGTTCAATCAGTATGCACATTACAGTCATTTTGTGTTAGTGTGCCCTCTTTTTGTTTGGCACCATCACTAAGAAGGTGTCAGAGCACCCAGGGAAATCCTTTCAAAATGTTTTGCCTGTTTGTGCTTTTTAAAGGGGGAAATAATGACTATATGGTATTCATATTGAATGTGACAGTGTTCTGGATATCCGAAAATCCCAATTTTTTAAACTTCCAAATTGCAAATCATAAGGACTATCATTCAGAATTCAAAATCTGAATGATGAATCTAATTTTTGTGCTAGTACACATCCCTAACTATTATATAGAGTGCAGAATTTAGCTGTTCCTGGTGCAGAATTTTTGAAACCCCAAACTCAGCCATGAAGTCTGTACTCATTGGCAGGGATGAACACTATGACCAGATTAATTGTGAGAATTTGTAATTGTTCCTGGTGCAGAATTTTTGAAACCCAAACTAAGCCATGAAGTCTGTACTCATTGCCAGGGATGAACATTATGACCAGATTAATTGTGAGAATTTGTAAAATCCCATGCTTGAAACTAGGGATAAAGCTTGAGGCTTACAAGTTAGATGTAATTGTTGGACCTGTAATTCTACATACATACCAATTCATAAATACCAATTCCACATATAAGCTGCCAGCACCACAGCCACCCAACTCCTGAAACAAGACATTTAGGGTTTTGTTTGAATCTTCTGGAAGCAAGACTAACTCTCTGTTTTAACATTTAACATGACAGGAAACCCTTTGGGTAAGGTGGGGAACATTTGTCTCATGCTTCCAGAAGTTTTTAGACTGCAGTTCTCATTGTCTCTTATCATTGCTTCTGCTCTCTAGCTTTGATGGGAGTTTCAGTCTAATAATATCTGGAAGGCTGCACTTTCAGCCTTAGAAGAGCCACTTAGCAATTCAACACCAAACATCTCAGGAATTAAAAAAATTCTAGTTGCAATCCTTAAAATCTCAGCTTTCTTTCTTTTTGTTACATTTAGAGGCCTCACATGGCAGCAGAGGTCAACCTTAGAACGATGATGGCAGGATGATGCTGAAGAATTTAGAGGAATGGGGTCAATAAAAGACCACCTCCATGATGTACTTCAGCTTTCTTTACTTACTTACTTACTTACTTACTTACTTACTTACTTACTTACTTACTTACTTACTTACTTACTTACTTACTTACTTACTTACTTACATTTCTATCCTGCCCAACTATTTGGTAAGCTGCTACTATGGATGGCTAACAGAAGGACACAACGTCATACAACAGCGGCAACAACAACAACAATACAGCAATAAAACAGGAGTGAAAATTAAAGACAGGCTGGAGGCAGAAAGGATACATAAAATTACGTGTTGCAGACGATTGCAAGGCTTTGGGAGACCAACCAGGTCTTCAATGCCCTCCTAAAAGCCAGGCGGGACGGGGCCAGTTGCACCTCTGGTGGGAGGGAAGTTCTAAAGTGAACCGGCCACCCCTGAGATAGCCTGGTTTCGAGTGCTGATTTCCGGGTCTCCCTTTGGGTGGTCAGTTGGAACCCCCCAGTCTGAGAGGGGTGGGTGGTAGATGTTTTGAGGGAGAGGAGCTCAGTCAAATTGCAGGGTCCTAAACTATTAAGGGCTTTAAAAGTTAGCATAAGCCCTTTGAACTTGGCCCAAAAGCAAACAGGCAGCCAGTGCAAATGAGCCAGGATAGGAGTTACATGGTCAAAAAGAGATGTTGATTATTTACCAGCCGGATGATAGCTGGGTTTTGCTTAAACTGCTAATCTTGCAGCAGCTTTTCCTTTTCAGGATGATGAGCACATGGTGAGGAAGTGGGCGTAGTGCAATGGACAGTGGGTTTACTGTCTGAAAGATATTATATTGAATAGTCAGAAACTACAGCTTGAGGGCCTGCTGTATTCACCAAAGTAGTAACACAAGCAATGTGATGCTGTCATAGAATAGAACTTCATCATAGGTTTGTAACTCATGAAATATTTGGGATGTAGCCCTTGGAGCTAAACACATGGCCAACCCTGGGAGGATGGAGGAACCGTCTGTCCTCTAGTCTGGCACGTCACACTATAGTTTACAAACCACATCAGCCTCCTCCCACATCCACGGCGCAACCTTCTGGTTCTCTCTTCTCTCTCACTCCTGTTTCCAGAAATGTGCCAAACAGTCCATTATGACATCAAGCATAACTAAGCCAATCACCTTGTCTGAATGATATGCTAGAGTTCATGTGCCCATACTTTTAAGCTAGCAACATAGCCAGCATTATGAGGAGTGCAGAGGACCTGGGGGAGAAAGAGGCCTGAATATTTCAAAATCTCCTAGGCTGGGAGCCACTGGGAACTGACCCTGTTCTACTATAGTGGTGGCATGTCTCAGGCCGTGTGCATGAAAGAGTTTCTCAATACTCAGATGCGATGCAATATTCATTTGGTGGTGGCGTGCCTTTTAAAATGAAAAGTTATTTGACTATATCCTGCTGCTTTGTAGCACTGCCAGTAATTGCCAATATGATATTTGTGGATTTTTTTTTCATTATGTTTAGCAGAATTTAGTAAGAATTCCCCAGCTAGAATCCCGATAATTTCAGCGAAAGAAAGAAAGAAAGAAAGAAAGAAAGAAAGAAAGAAAGAAAGAAAGAAAGA